CTTGGAGGTGCAGAATAATTCACATTTTGGGGAAGTTTTCAACAAATTTGGGAAGGTTTTGGCCATGTTTCTTTCTGCATCATTTCTCTCTCCTCTCCCTCTGACACCCCCACTATGTATCTGATGGTGCATTTAATGGTATCCCACAGGTCTTCAAGCCTCTGTTCATTTTTCCTCATTCTTCTTTTTTTGTTCTTAGACTAATCTCAGTGAACTTATCTTCAAGTTTAGTGATTTTCTTCTGCCTAGTCAAATCTGAGTACCTCTAGAGAATTTTTACTATGTTTTTCAACTCCAGAATTTTTAATTTCCTTCTAAAAAATTATTTCTCTCTTTTTATTGATACTATTTGGTGATTCTCATATTTTCCTGAAGTTCTTTTTATGTGGTTTCCTTTAGTTCTTTGAATGTTTAAAATAGCCAACTTAGAGTCTTTTTGTCTGATGTTTGAGTTTCCTCTGGGACAGTTTCTACTGACTCCCTTATCCCCAAAGTGTGAGCCATACCTTCTGGTTTCTTTGTACCTTTTTGTTGAAAACCAGACATTTTATTTGGTCAATGGGGTCTCAGTCTGTCACCCAGGCTGGAATAGTAAGTAGCACAACCACAGCTACACTGCAGCCTTAAACTCCTGGGCTCAAGTGATCCTCTTGCCTCAGTAGCTGGGATCATAAGTGTGCGCCACCATGCCCAACTAAAGTTTTTTGTTTTTGTGTTTTCTTTTTTTTGTGGTGATGAGGTATTGCTTTATTACCCAGGCTGATCAACTCCTGACTTCAAAGTCCTCCCACCTTGGCCTCCCCGTGTGTTGGGATTACAGGCGTGAGCCACCACACCTAGCCACAACCAGACATTTTAAATTATATATTATGACAACTCTGCTTGGGAAGTTAGACTCTGGAAATTAAACCTCCCTAGGGTTTATTGTTATTGCTATTTGTTACTGTTGGTAGGTTGTAACTTTTTTGACTAATCCTATAAAGTCTGTATCTTTGTCACATGTGGGCACTGAAGTCTCTGCTCTGTTAGTTTTGTGGTTAATGATTGGAAAGAAATTTCCTTAAATGCCAGGAAGTAGTTTGTCTCTCAGTCTAAGGGTGAATAATAATCATAAATAAAAATAAAAGTTGGGGCAACCCTTCAACACTTAGCCATACAATTTATAAGCCTGCCTTAGCCTTCATTTCCTGCTCACACAGAGCCTCCAAGTTATCCAGAAGTGGGAGTTTAAGGTCTCTGAGCATGTCTGCAGCCTTCCGAGTTCCTAGGAGTTATATACGTGAGGTTTTCAGAGCCCTCTGTGGACATCTGATTTCCCAGTTAGCTTTTCTGTTTAAGGGTTTGGGTTAGTCTGTTGTTTGCCACAACTGTTACCCAGTGTCTCAGGTAGCTAAGGTGATTGATAATTTCTTCTGATTGTTTTTGATAAATGCCCTGGGGAAAGAGGTGGTTCATAGTAGACAGGCTTCCAGTCACTTTAAATAAAGACAACCTTGCAAATGGGTCCTTCCAGGGAGCCACCAGACAGGTGGTCAGATGACAGTTCTCCAGGAATGGCACTTTGAAGGAGCCCTAGCCCTGTTCTCTCTCCGGTGGCTGCCAGGCTGTTGGTTTTTGAAGAAGCTATTAATTACCGCCTGGAGGGGAAGGGGTTGGAATATAGGAGTAGGACATGTTAAAATGCCGCAAGGCTCAACATTCTTACCAGTAATCACCTGGTTTTCTGGCATAAATGCTCTCTGGATTGCTGCAAGTGTGGTTTTATTTCTAGTTTTTAAGAAGCTGATTTTGATCAGTGTTAACAGTAGAGACAGTTTTCTGCAGTCCCTTCTCTGCCATTTTCACTAACATCACTCCCCCTTTGTTGAAAAGCGTTCCTATGCCAGTTGCTGATTTATATGTTTGCTTGACCTTAAATGAATCTGAGTTTCATTATTTTCATCAGCAGCATTATTTATGTATATGCTTTGGTACTTTCACCTATATTGCCTCCTTTGTCTAAGAGGCTGACATCCACCTTATTATATCAGTCAAGGAACCATGTTCATTTTCTCTTCCTTACAAAAATGCACATCATTTACATTTACTCTCTTGATAAAGGCAGTTGAAGATGACTTTGTGGAAATGCGGAAGAATGACCCTCAGAGCATCACTGCTGATGATCTTCACCAGCTGCTCGTGGTGGCTCGGTGAGTGGCACGTGTGCATCGTTTTCTCAGTAAGCTTGTGTATATAAGTCTTCTGAGTTATTCAGCAGTAACTGAGGCAGACTTCTAAAAACGGAAATGAACGTTTCCTTTCAAAAACGCTGTTATGAAAGGGCTCATTGAGGGGGAATCGAGTTTGGCTGGTGATCTCTTCAGTGGAACAGGCGTGCTGCTTGTTCTCTAAGCTTCAAAGAGCGAGCCACCCTCCAATTCTGACTCTTCAACACTTTCTTTGTAGAAGCCTGACTTGGCTATTGACGTGTGTGTAACTGCCAGACGGTCTTGTCTCCTAACATGGTCTGTGTTTTCACCAAGTATTCCTAGGTCTTAAAAAAATTTAAAACTTACTTTCCCAGCTCTAGACTTACATTTGTTTCCGTGTTTGCAACCAGGTGTCTGTCTCTCAGTGCTGGTCAGACAACGCTGTCAAGAGAACGATGGCTGAGAGCAAAGCAGCTGGAGTCTTTAAGAAGAACGAGGCTCCAGCAGCAGAAATGTGTGAATGGAAATGAACTTTAAAGATCTGATGCCTGTGAAGAGTAATGGGCAAATTGTAGCCACATGATTGTAAAATTCAGATGTTCATTTATACCACATTGTTTTATAGGTAATTTCTATCACAAACCAATGACATTTCCTGAAACCAAGCCTGATAACATCTGATGTTTATATGATATTCAGTAAGGACTTTTACCTTACTGATTTCATGGAGCTTTTGAAGTTTGTTTTATAATTATATAAATTAGTAATGATGTAAAAAAAAGTATTTGATATTAAAAGTTTAATATTGATAATGTTGCTGATTATACCTTTTCCTTAGCTTCAGCTGAGTCATAGGCCAGACTGTTGAAATGCTGAAATGAAGAAGGTTGTTGCAATTTCAAAGTCAGAGGTATCATGCTTCGGATTCCTTATGTTTTCCAGTTCACAGTGGGTTGGGTTGGGGTGCATTCAGTAGTCCATCTTTGGGGAACGGAGGCGGATTTGCCATTGATTCACATGACTACGTAAAATTCTGTCCTGTCATTTCCCAGATGTTTGGCCACAGAAACTTTTTCTCACTTAACATTTGTTAACAGCCTGCAAAACTAGACTTGTACATGGCAGACTTTTGTATTTTGTGGACCAGTAGTAACACTTCCAAAAATCTCGGGGACTATAAGGTTGCCAATCTACCTTGCCAAGTAATTTGAATAAATCACTATTATCACCATTTTTTTCATAAAAGGACAATCTCTGAATAAGAGTCCTTTAAATGGAATGAATGTAGCTTTTGGGGGCAAAAGAAACCGAGACACACTACATTGTCTTTATCTTCTCCTATCCTGGTGCATTTGAGAACCATGCATAAGGGAATGCTGTGCTACAAAGCTGTGTCCACATATGAAAACAAAACAGTAAGCTTAAAAACCAATACCCCCTTTAGAAAGTTATTTGCTTAATGTCATGTTGTAGTTGCTTTGATTCTATTGGATTTTTGGCATTTTATGTAGGTTCATCCATTGGTTCCAAGTATGTTAGATCAGCTAACATCTGCTACTTCAGTAACAGCCTCATACAGCTGCAGGTAGGTTTTCTCCAGACCAATTAGTTTCAATAGAGCAAACTAACAGACTATAGTAGCATGGTTATGGCAACCAGAATCTTCAGCAAGGTTAGGACGTTACTTTTTAAGCTGGCAGTGGTATGAAGTAGCTTACCTAGTTGGAGACAGATAAAGGATCCCTTACATTTTTTCCTATAAGGCCTAAATTGACATTGTTAACCAAGGAAACAGGGTCAGCCTTGAAAAATCAAGGAATTCATTGTACCTAATAACTGAAGTAAAAATTACTAGTTGTTCAACTTTTCCTAAATGCAAATCTATTTTTATAAACTAATGTAAATAATGTTTATATTAGAGTTTAACTGGTTTTCATTTTTATAACTGGTAGACTAGACCTTCCTTAAACTTTTAGAAATAAAATGAAGGCTTAACCTGGATTTGTGAGGATAAAATACATTTTCTTTAACTGTCCTACAGCAAAGTAGATTAGTCACCATGTGTTTTTTGTGCCAATGTAAATTGTAATTTACCAAAGAAAAATACATACATTGCTTGGTCTTGCAGAAAAGTTCCCTTGAAAGAATCTTTCCAATAAATAAAACTTCCCAAATTACCAGTACCTTGGGCTGTTTTTCATGAATGATAAGATTCACCATCCCATGTGATCTGTGTGGGAAAAGGCCATGTCCTCCTGGTGGGAAGACATGAGAGAGGTGAACTGAAGTGGAGGTGGTGCAGCAAGAGGGACCTTCCTGCTCAAGGCCCACCCAGGCAGCGGAATGCAGTGCAGCGCTTGGCTGCAGAAATCCTTTGTCCCTCACCTATATACACGGACAGTCAAGTTTGTTGCTCTAATGTAAGCCACAGCATTAACCCTGTATGGCCAGGAAACTGAGTAGACTCCTGTGTAACCCTGCGTGGAACTTTGCCTTAAAATAACTTTTCAAAAATCTCTTTCAAAACTGTTTCTGTGGAGTTTAAACATGTATTTTATCACCTAATGTTGGGTTGTATTTTCCCCAAGTTGGGAACCCTTAATATTTTCAGGACCCGGAAGAAAAGTTGGTAGAAGCAAGCATTCAGTTTTGAATGTTTGGATTTAAAGTATAGTTTCTGATCCATTTTACTTTTTAAATCATGAGTATACTTCAAAGGAGTAAAATACTGGCAACAGCTAGACCAAGTGTTCAGTTATAGCAAATTTCCCCCGTTTACAAATTCATGCAAGGAATTCTCATACACATTTGTCACTTTAAATTACAGTGATACTTTATTTTAACAATCACAAGATTTAACACGTAAAAAAAAAGATACCACTAATAAATAACAAAAGTGGAATGCTTATCAGAGTTACAACAGACATAATGTTCAGCCGAGAATCAATCACATCAACAGAGTAAAGCTCTAAAGATACCAGACAAACCAATACTTTTTGGAATATGCCGTACAACTTTACCATGGGGATTACAGGGACAAACCCTGGTTCTGTGTGGTCAAGAGTTAGTCAGACAGATTCAGCACAGTTGTGCTTCAGACTAAATTTTTTTTGAGACAGTCTTGCTCTGTCCCCCAGGCTGGAGATCAGTGGCACAATCACACCTCACTGCAGCCTCAACCTCATGGGCTCAAGCAATCTTCCTGCATAGCTAGAAACACAGGCATGTACCACTAAGCCCAGCTAATTTTTGTATTTTCTTGTAGAGACATATGTTTCCCAGGCTGGTCTCAAACTCCTGGCCTCCCAGTGTTGGGATTATAGGTGTGAGCCACTGCACTTGGCCCAGACTAAATTTTGAAGTTGTTGATCGTCTACATAAGATGTCGAGGATGCCCCTCCTGGAATAAATGAAAACCGGACTTCTGGGATTTCCAGTAGCCAATATGTGTGTGTTCTTACATTCCTGAAAACAGCAAAATGGAATTTAATAGGTGCTGGTATTCACCTCTGATGTATCAGGTTTACTGTGTGACAAGTCTTAATATTCCTAGGTTTACACTGTAGGCAGCAGAGTATTTTTAATGTGTTCAAGTAGAATATGGGGGAAATTAGGATCAAATGAGAATTCACTTCTTTAGTGTCAATAACCCTCAACTCCTCAGGGAATAGTTAAGCCATCAAAACTAAAATAGCTTTATATTCAAATGCTTTGGTAACATGTTAGTCACTAAAAACTAAATGTGTAATTTGTAGAGGTAACACACAGGAATGAACTGACAAACAGAACAAATTATGAAAAATGCTAATCCCCTAAGCATCTGCATGTCCAGCCCTTGTGTCTACTTAATGTAGTCTACCCACCCCACTCCAAAAAAAAGGTTCAGTTTATCCCAAAGTGACCTGTTGCTGAATTACTTTCAAATAAGCAAAGTGCTCTGTAGTGTATAAGCTACTCAGGTCTACACATTCTAGAATGATGCGCTTCTGTAGTCCTGGCTCTAAAATCTGGAAATCTACTCAGGTTCAGACTCCTTTTAAAACCCTTTCCAATGAACAGAATTTGTGATCCCTGGATTCAGACAGTACAATTAAAATACCCCAAGAGATAAAAACTTCATATTTTTAAATAAAAGCCATGGAAAGATTCTTATGGCTAAAAGCTAAATCTGAATTATCCGTGTCTGGCATTGTATAAACATTTTTTTAAGTTCATTTTGCTGGACTTGATTAATGACTTCAGATTCTGCAGGACTCTTCTGAACTTTTGCCACTGCAAAGTTTATCCCATGGGTTAATCCAGCTTGGGTAATACTAGCAACCTGAACCATGGAACTTCGAATCTTGGCAAAGGGAGAGACTGCTCTGCTGCTACTGCTCTCTGAAGGAGAAGGAGTTACGTGAAGCCCTGTCTCAAGTTCAAGCATGCTGGAAGCGGAGCTGGGGGTTTTTTGAGATGCAACTGAATGCGCTGGCTCAACTGACAAAAACTGTGGGCCTGTTGCAGAGAGAGAGACATCTAATTGAGATGGCCGAGAAGGTGTCTGTTCTGTTGATTCTGATTGGGTTTCTTCGTTTGAAACTTCACTGGTCATTTGATTTCTTCCCTGACTAGCCTGCTGAGACACAGACCTGGGCTCTGAAAGGTGGGTCACTTTGTTTTGTGCATCTTGCACAAATCTGTGGCAGTAAATATCCATAGGCTTGGCAAAGCCAGTCAATATGTGTATGTTGCCAGCAGAAGGGCTTTTCTTCAAAGGAGACTCCTGGCCTTTTCCAAGCCCACTGCCATGAGCAACAGTTATCTCTGAAGGAGCATGAATGCTACTATCTGTGCTGCTAAGAGACTGGGACCGACTACCCAATCGAGGCGCTGAAGCAATAATACCACAACTAGGAAGAACGTAATCTACTGGCCCTACACTCTCTAATGAGTTAGCTAGCTGCCTGTCTTCATCAGACTTAGAATTTGTAAGGAATTCATCAGAGTGGTATGAGTCATTATCTGAAGACATGTCCCCATCAGACTCTGCCTGAACTTTATCCATCACTCCTGTGTTTTCCATAGTTTCAAGACTACTGTCTGATTTCCAAAGATTTACTTTTAAGTTTGGTTTTAGAAAGTTAACTTTCATTTCAGGTTTGGTAAAGTTTCCTAGCTTTCGGAGGTTGCCAATATTTACATTGGATTTGGTCTGCTTCACTTTTTGATTTAGAGATGAAAATTTGCTCATTAAAAAATTCTTTCCCTGGGCCAAAGAACCTTGGTTTTGAGATCTGATACCAATGATGTCTTCGTGAGGTTTACTGCTCTTCCTGCAAATTAAAAGAGAAAATAAGTTAATCCCCCATGGAATCCAATATACCAGTTCCAGTTATTAATATAAGTGAAAACACTTACTTATTCAAATTGGTCCCAACTTCTTGAGAACACTGCATTGCTAATTGATAGATAACCCCTCAGAGTTGACATTAAAACAGTGCTATCCAATAGAAATATGTGAAATACATATGTAATTACAATTTTTCTAGCAGCCACATTAAAAAGCAATGAAATTAATTTTAATATTTAACCCAATATATACAAAATATTTCAACATAAAAATATTAAAAGATTAATATTCCTTTTTGAACTAATTTAATATAGGCAATGTGTAGTGTTCTGTAATTACAGCACACCTGAATTCAGTCTAGCTGCATTCTAAAAGGCTTCACAACCACATGTGGTGAGTGGCTGCTACTGTGGGCAGTGCGGGTCTAGCACCGCCACCATCTGATTATAAATGGGAATCTGTAGCACCTGAACTCAGGTTATCTAGACACATCCCAGCGTGGCTCCATTCAGGTAGTGCGGGGAGAGAGGGGTAAGACTTCCATTTTCTTATATGTCCTGCGGGTTACCTGAATTTATTTAAAAAAAGATTTGGGACATTTAACACAATTACTCTTAGTGTCTTCTCTCCTTTGGTATCCCTCATGACAGCTACAAATAAGAGAAAAAAGTTGATGCTATTTGCCACAAATGTGCATTTGTCCTGTTGGGTCATGTAAGGTCACTGATCATGAGCATACTACAGAAAAATTATGGGTTAAAGTAATTCTTCAGCAAAAGCCTGAGCAATTTTCTTCTGACCAAATGGCTCTCTTCACTAGTAGAATGTGGACCACAAAACCTGACAGATGCTCATTAGAAAGAAAAGCCACACTTTTTAAATGTGAAATAATCTGTTGATAGGCATTCTTTTTCCAAATTCAAAAGCCTAATGTTTAAAACATACTATTTTCTCTACAAAGTACTTAGAAAAAATTTCAATGTTTCCTCTCATCAGTTTACTTATGAGTTAAAAATGTATCGCTTGTGGCCACATGAGTTGTGTCAAGGACGGCAAAATCCTTGCAGGGGGTTGCTCTCAGACTGATTCTCTTGGCAAAATACCACCTACCTAAGTACTTGTGGAGACAGTGTTACTCTATCAAAACTTTTAAACACACCTAGAGGGATATCCTAAGCATATTTTAAATGCCATATCACTCAAGAAAATGAGACTCTGGGCCGGGTGCAGTGGCTCACGCCTGTAATCCCAGCACTTTGGGAGACCAAGGCGGGCGGATCACGAGGTCAGGAGATCGAGACCATCCTGGCTAACACGGTGAAACCTCGTCTCTACTAAAAATACAAAAAATTAGCCTGTAGTCCCAGCTACTCGGGAGGCTGAGGCAGGAGAATGGCATGATGAACCTGGGAGGCGGAGCTTGCAGTAAGCCGAGATTGTGCCACTGCACTCCAGCCTGGGTGAGGGCAAGACTCCGTCCCAAAAAAAAAAAGATGAAACTCTGGGTCTTCAGAGTTTTTCCTGAAACTGAGGATAAGCAATAACCTTTAAGGAGGTGGGTGCAGGGTTAAAGGAGTCTGACAATCAGTTTGGCACTGTTAGGGACAAGTGATATATTCACGTCTTTTAATCCAGATTCACAACCTGGGGATGCTATTCTCAAGAAATTATCCTAAACATCAGAAAGTAATACATGACAAAGATATCTGTCATGACTTTTTTATAAAAGGAAAAAATGCTAGCAACCAAAATTCTTGGCAACTGGGTTTAATAGCTGTGTGCCAGGTCTAAGTGTGTTATCATTCAGTTCATGCAATGCACTGACATGGATTTTCTCTCATCTTACAGATAACAAAACTGAAGTAAAGGCGTATGTTTTCCAAGGTTAAAGAGTAATTGATAGAACCAGGAGTCACAGAATCCACATTCTGAACCCACACAATACATTTCCAAACAGATCACAGTAGGCATCTATTTAAATGGTAGTTACGAATTCTACAGTAATATGGAAAATGCATAAAATACAATCTTTAGCAATGAAAGATTATTAACCTGTATAGGTTAAAAATGTACAAGAGGCTGGGTGCAGTGGCTTTCCAGAAGAATTTCAATTAACAAGTGTAGAAGGAATGAGAATTAGAAAAATCACCACAGATCATGACAGGAATAAATACCATAGAACAAGATCCACGATGGTTATGAAAAATGAATAGACTTAAATTTACACAGAAACAATATTTACATAGTCTCAGAGTGTTTTCCCCTAAATATTTAGCAATTACAAAGAGGAAGACACAAAGTTTGCAGTGCAGAATCCTGGCAGATGCCACTACCCCAGCCAAGTAATCAAGCTTATTCTCAACAATACTACATAGGCCATCATGCCCTCCCTCCCCACAGCATGAGGCTCTGAGAAGTGCACATCGCTTCTGCGGTGTCCTTCCTGACAATGCGTAACCTCAGCTTCATCAGGAAAAAACACTGGACAAACCTAGCTTAAGGGATGTTCTACAAAACAGCTGACCAGTACTCTTAAAAAATGTCAAAATTATGAGAGAAAAGACAAGATTGAGGAAGTAACATTAAATTATAGAGACAACTAAATGCAGTGTGGAATCCCAACTGGATCCTGGAACAGAAAAAGGGTGCTAGTGAACACCTAGTGAAATCTGTACTTTGATTAATCTTACCGTGCCAAGGTTACTTTCTTAAGTTTTGATGCATGATCTATGGTTATAAATTGGTAACATGAAGGGAAACCGAAGGAAGGATACATGGAAACCCTCTAAATTACCTGTGCAGCTCTTCTGTAAGTCTAACACTTACCTGAAAATTGTATACATGAAGAATGTTAAAAAGTATTTTGACCCACAGAAATTTGATCCTTACCTCTCTCAATGCCCACACCTTACCATAATGTGATCTCCTCCCCTTTCCCCCTGCAAAGAATTTTAAAGAAATAAGACTTTGGATAAGAATGCCTTTATTCTTGAGAGAAGCAGTATGCTCACCTCTCAAGTTTCTTCTCAATTATGGGTACATCCGATCCCATGGCTTGCTTGGTGATCTGCAGCATCTCTGCAATGCACTGAAGGGTATCTGCAACCCAAATATAACTGCTTGCCAATTTCTCCATGAACATATTTAAAAAAATAGCAGTTCTAACCCATATACCACTGAATGAAATTTGTGGTTGTATAATTAAATACAAATTTATTGGCTTCAATTTATAGAAAACTGCTACCTGTTCACTACTCTCCCCACTAATTCATGATGTTCTAAAATTTTAAGAGAAAACAACAAAAACAAAAGAATGAAATCGAGGAATTAGAAGTTTGTTCTAACTCATGTTTGTTCAAGCACTGTGACAGATGCCGTGGCAACAGCCATGGACAAGGCAGGCATGGCTCCTGCCTGCTACAGATGAAAAGAACATGACATGTGAAGAGCCTTGACACCCATATGATCACTGATGGGGCCAAACTCACTGAGAATCCCTGCTAAAGAGAACTTTGCCCCAAACTAAATAACACATTCAGATCATCTCCCTGGGCTGCTGGGAACAGAGCTGCTATTTCAAGGTCTCATATTCCAAAGCTATTCCCAGGACCCTCTCTCATTCAGTTGGTGATATGAAATATCCCCAATTCCTTTTGGGCTTTTAAGAATAAATAGAAAGTTTTCACTGAATACTTTCATCTCTTCCTCTTTTTACCTTTTCCATCCTCTTCAGGATTACGCATTACAGCTCGCAGTGTGTGGAAATAGCCACTTGCTTCTTTGTATCTGTAGTGCAGTCGCATGCAGGAGAACTTTGGCTTACCAAAAAGAGTGGGTTCAGGGCCTAAAAACCCAAACGAATATGTATAAAGTTAACTCTTTCACGTAACATTTTCTTCTATTATCTTCAAAAAACCCAACACATTTTTCTTTGTAATATAAATGACAGCACACAAAATACAAACTTCTGGTGACCATTTGCTTTGATAAATAAAGCTAGAAAAACTCTTTCAATCTCAATCATTTAAGCTTTCTTGATCCCTAGGGTAATCTTCACAAGGTAAATAATAAAAGGAATACGGTTATTATGATAAGACTATATCCATCACTAACCCATAACAAATAGAAAGGAAGTTCTAAGAAGTAGACAGCGTGGAATATCCCTTTCTGGTTTCTTACATGTTATACTGGTCTCCAAATTCCACTGTAAGAAGAGCCGACATTTCTGCCTTAGGATTTCATACCTATTCCCTAGACCTTATCAAAATGCTACTAACAACAAATGGAAAATAATAGTGAAAAAAAGCATTTGTAGGTGAAACTTAAACCAGGTACTTGCTTAAATAATTTGACCCCCTCTTGGAAACAACAGCATTTGCTTTTTATGACTTGATTAGTAAGTTAAAACTTACCTATTTCGATTTTTTCCAGGTCTTCTAGACTTAGTCGTTGATACTGGTTTACTTTATCAACTTCATCATCATAACTAGATAAAGGGAAATGAAGTTAAAAGAGGATTTAAATCAAAAGCATATTTGGCTCATTAGGGAAGGCACAATAGCTGCAAACTGTTACATACATACAGTTAACAAAATCTTCCACAGCACATACATTCTGGGGTAAAATGTTAAACATAAGAACTATTTTAAAAATTAAACAAGAATAACATATATAGTTCAACAGCTAAGGGAAAATAAGTTCACAGATCTAACAGTTAAAAAAAGCAACTAGGGCCAGGCACAGTGGCTCACACCTGTAATCCCAGCAGTTTGGGAGGCCGAGGCAGGTGGATCACGAAGTCAGGAGTTCGAGACCAGCCTGAGCAACATGGAGAAACCCCCATCTTTCCTAAAAACACAAAATTAGCTGGGCATGGTGGCGCATGCCTGTAATCCCAGCTACTCAGGAGGTTGAGGCAGGAGAATCACTTGAACCCAGGAGGTGGAGGTTGCAGTGAGCCGAGATCATGCCATTGTACTCCAGCCTGGGCAAAAAGATTGAAACTCCGTCTCAAAAAAAAAAAAAAAAGCAACTATAAGGTTAAAATAAGTTTTATAAAAACTCATATAAAATGAAAACAAACCTAAAACCTAACCTACAAGGCAAATGCGCCCACGCCCATGCACGCACACACACACACAGACAGAGGGAGGGAGGGACGGGGGGAAAGAGGGAGGCAGAGAGAGAGAGAAAAAAAAACAAACTATGTATTTGGGAACAATACAGCTGTTAAATATGATATCCAAAATCAAGAATGAAAAATCCATATGATATATGCCAACAGGCATCTGGGCAAATGACTAAAAAATAACAGTTTACACAAAGCCAAAACCAAAGTGAATATTTACTTAGTAAATATAAATTAGAAAAATACTGGTAAGGTGTGGGGAAACAAGTGCTTGTATTTTGCTACTAGCACTGTTCATTCAGGGTCTTTCTGGAGATCAATCTGACAACAAACCACAGAAGTCGTAATTCATCATACGCTTGTAACCAAAGAAGTGCGCAATGCATGCACACACACACACACGCACACACAGACACGTTACTGCATAAAGACAACTGCATCATTCGTAGCAACAAAAAATTGGAAGTAATTTAATACCTAACAGTGAGGAAAAACTTTACTATAGTAATACAAACAATGATATGTGGTCATTAGTGATAAAAATGTATGGAATACATCAAAATCTGGGAGATATATAGGAAACAATACCAAATGCCAAAAGAATACAACATAAACATTAATTTAACTATAAAATCATGCTTTCAAACCAATAAAGATAAAAGGGAGTTAGAATGACGTAACAGTTATATAAGGTAAAGGGGTTCAATGAAGTTTCATAAAATATATAACAAAACCATATTCTCATTTTTTTTGTTACGAATTCTAAAAAGAAAATTTACTCAAATTTAAAACACAAAATCAAAAGCTTTAAATCAATAAGCAACTTACTAGGCCACGTAGTAGGCAGAGTTAGAAAGCAGTAACAGCACATCCACATCTCTGTGAGTAGCATCAATGAGGCTAAACAAATATGACACAGGAGTTTAATATTTTCATTTTCATCTGCAGTTTTTGCCAAGCATATTTCTAAAGCAGAGATACTTAAGACAAAAAAATTGGCCAGGGGGAGGGAAAAAAAAAGAAGAGAATCAGTTCTACTGCAGTTAGATGTAATACAGTCTATCCATTTGGACAGTCTTTAAAAAACAAGGAAAAGCAGATCTGGGAAGTGAAGGATGGAGAGTAGAGAAAGGCAGCCAAAGGAGGGAGGAGTCCCTCAGGAAATGGGATAATTTGAGGTGGGGGAGTGGTGGGATTGGAGGATGATAGAGAAATAGTTAAGGGAAGAAAAAAGAAAAACGTGAGAGTGAGAAGGGAGAAATCTTAATTATCTCACATTATCTAATCTTCAAAATAACACACTGTACATTCAGGATATCTTTACATTCATGTGGAATACATCTTTTGAAAGACTTTTACATGAATACAGTACTTATGTGCAAAAATGGAACAAGTCCAAGCTACTTTTGCATGTTTGTCATTATAGATTAATTTATTTGGCTTTCAATAAACAAACACCCTTATTCTAAGTCTATTTTGCCATGTTTATACCCACTCTAAAATCAATTATGAAAATAAGAATCAGAATCCAGGTAGTGTTGATGAACCATGAAACCAAAACTACAATAAAATGTACATCCTTGTAAAATTACCAATAAGAAAATTCTTAAAGTATAAAATCTATAAATAATTAACACAGGCAGAATCTGAATTAAACTGAAACTTTTAGTCTAATATTAATCTAACAATAATAGCCTTTCCAGCAAAAGGTAGAGATGTTTCTGCATTCTTATACTGGTCTCCAAATTCCACTGAAAGAAAGACGACATTTCTCCCTTGGGATTTCATACCTATTCCCTAGACCTTATCAAAATGCTACTAAATACAAGCAGAAAATAATAGTGGAAAAAAAGCGTTTGTAGGTGAAACTTAACCATGGACTAAAATCTGCGTAAGAATGAGGTCACTGTTTAACAGGTACTGCAGGGAAGGATTTACCCTAATCTTAAACTGCAGTTTTTTACATCAGAGACACCTTGTTGTAGCTTGAATCTGACAGTTTTAATCTAAAACAACAAATTCACCTCAATTTGCACGTACAGTATCGAAAAATACAACAAATGACATAATGAGATGCCAGGACCGGAAACACAGATTGATTCTAGGAGCCAAAATCTGAGCATTAACCAATTAATCAATGGGAAAAGGACAACGATCCAAGCAGCCTCATGGAGAATAATACCAAATAACACTGTAAAACGTACTTAAGTTTTATGCATTGATACTTACGTGCACTCTGAAAATTGTTGCTTGAGCCAAGCCATAAAAATTACGTCACGACACATTTTAATACGAAATAAATTCTACTACTAATTACAGTGTTACTTTCACCCTGACTTCCTCTTTTGGCATTAATATTTACATCAGCCAAACATGATCCCCAGTCAAAAACATTATGTCCTTAACAAAAAGCACTTGGCACGTAACAGGCAGTCGGAAAATGTCAACCCTCCCCCCACCCCCAATTTTACTGAAGTCTTAGCTGCAGTAAATATTTAATTCCCTCCCCGCCCACCCTTCCCCTTAAAAAAAAAAAAAAGCACGTTCAATACGAACAAGAAACAAGACGAAAAACCCTTTAGGTATTTCCCCAGCCCCCCCGCCCCCCGGTTTGCAGCTCTGAAGAAGCTGCTCTACTCGTTTTTGTTTTCCCGCCACTGGGGCAAGCCCTCCTTCCACACTATGAAGACGAAAATTGCCAGCACCACATGAAGCCCGACCACTGCGACAATGGTCGCGTAAAAGCCGCTATCTTCCGGGGACATCAACATCAGACTTTGGAAAAGAAGTAATTTGCAGGAAAAATATAACCCCACAGGAACTTTAACCATAAGTCCTGCAAAAAGGAGAAAAATCTTGAAAGTCATAGCCACAACGCCCTCAGACTTGGGCTCGGCTGCTGCGGCCGTGGCAGCCCGCTGCGCGGTAGGTGGAGGCCTGTGAGAGCGCGGCATCGTCAGTCAGTCCGTCCGTCTGTCCGTCCGTCGATGCCTCGAGGCTCAAACAGCCGCCTGCACCCAACCTCGCGCCTGCAGCGAATGCGGCGAATGCGGCAACTGCGACGCGGCAGTGCCAAGTCACGCCCAGGAGACACATCTAGCTTCCGGGCGCTCACTTCCGGCCTCGGCTGGCGACCAGTGCGCATGCGCACTCCATCCTGCGCATCCTACGCCTTCCAAGGAGGGCACGGACCCCGGCCCGGCGGGGGAGGGGCGCCGGGGGGCCACTCCCGCGAGAGTTTGCTGGCGCCTTCGCCTTCGTCAGGGTCAGTGCCTGCGGCTAGAGGGGGAGGCTGGCGGGCCGGGCCAGGGTACGGCGCCGAGCGTCTGGCCCCTAGGCCATCGCATGCCTAAAGGATAGTGGCTGCCGTGTGCCTGGCCACTCCACTGCCACGGCTGGACCGGACAGTCGGCCTGAGCGCACGGAAGCGAGTCGAAGCAAGTTGGGAACACCACTTGGCTTCGCAGAGAGGTGACGCGGGCCCTGCAGGTCCGCAGTTGCCTCTCCAGTCTCAGAGTCTCTTTCCCGCTGTCGATAGAGTCGGGGGTTTCCTGCGATAACGGGCGGGAAAGGACAAGAAAGGCAGAGAGGTCTAGGGTGCGTCCAGGGTGGCCCGAACAGAGCTGCGCACTCTGACTCTAGGTCGGAGTGCGTCTAGGGTGGCCCGAACAGAGCTGCGCTCAGCCTTGCAAGGGAAAAGGGCCAGGACAGGCACGGGCGTGCTGGACAGTTCCCGGTTCCCAGTTCTCTGTATCCAGCGCCCAATGCCCTAGGCCGGGACCCCGCAGCCAGGCCTACTTCCCCGCTGGGACCGCGCATTTCCAAACTGCTTGCCTGTTTTTCCAGCAGATATTTAAACACAGCTGGGTCTGCAGTGAGGTGAGTGAGGAGGTACTGGTACAAATTTTAAAGGGTGTCATTAATTTTGTCAACCAATTAGTGCAATATTTTTAAAAATCAAAATGGAAAAATATGATATGATGGACAAAGCATCAAACATTTAAGTAGAGATAGAATACACCCCTGTAGTTGCATAATCGTACCTCACTCACCTGACCCTAATCCCAGCTCTGTTCCCAAAAAAACTATTTACAAATCAACAACCCAATTAAAAAATGGGCAAAGGGTTTGAATACATGTTTTTCCAAGTAAGACACAGAAATAGCCAACAGTACAAAAAAAAAAATCCTTAACATCGTTTGTCATTAGGGAAATGCAAATCAAAACCACAATGAGATACCACTTCACACTAAGTAGGATGACTACAATTAGAAAAAAAGGAAAATAAGTGAATAAGTATTGGCAAAGACTGGAGATACTGGAACCCTCCAAACTGGAATGCACTGAAATACACTGCTGGTGGAAATGTAAAATGGCATGGCCACTGTAGAAAACAGTTTGGCAGTTTCTCAAAAGTTAAACAGGATTATTGGATAATCTGGCCATTTCCACCCAAAAGAGCTATTTAATAGAGACAGGTGTTCAAACGAAAACCTGTACACAAATGTTCATAGCAGCACCATTTACAATGGTCAAAATGTGGAAATAACCCAAATGCCCATCAACAGAAGAAAGAACAAAATGTGGTCTATAATGAAATACTATTCAGCTACAAAAAGGAATGAAGCTCTGACACATGCCACAACATGGATTAACCTGGAAAACATTATGCTAAGTGAAAGCAGCCAGTCACAAAAGGTCACATAATTATATTATTCCACTTGAATGAAATGTCTAGAATATGCAAATCCAGAGACAGAATTAGATTAGTGGTTGCTTAGGGATGGGAGTGTGGAGCGTAGGGAAGTGACAGCTAAAGGGTACGGGGCTTCTCTTTGTGGTGATGAAAATGTCCTAAAATTGACCATGGTGATGGCTGCACAACTCTGAATATACTACAGACCATTGAATTACATGCTTTAAATATGTGAATTATATGGTATATGAATTATATGTCTCAATAAAACTGTTTAAACACACACATGCACACACATATTTCACGAGTGGATGGTTGAGGCAGGCAGGCAGTAAGAGCAAATTCCCAAGCCTGACAGCTGAGCCTTCCACTGGCTGGCTCTCCAGAGACTTGCACCCCCACTGCCACTTCCAGGGCCACCTCTTGTCCTCCAGCAGGAGCCTCTGTTCTGGGTCAACACCTCTAGCCGAGCTGATGGATTGTACAGAGGTTCTATAGCAAACTCGTCCCAAGAGCAGGTTTCCAAATCTCTCATCAAGAGAAAGGGAAACAGCACCATTAGGAAAATCTTTAAGCCTTGCAGTAAGTGGAAGAAAAATATCGATGGCAAATTCAAAGAAATATCAGCAGTATTACAAAGAATCACACCCACAAGACAAAGACGTGCCTGTACGAAGAGGAGTTGCTAAAGAATTCTCTAATCAAGATAGAAACGCAGTAGTTACTTTGAAAACTCAAACAGCACTTGATACCCGCTGTCTCCCCCGAGAGTAATCCACAGGAGAGGAAAATGTAGGAAGAAGGTAACAGTTCTCTATCTGAAAAAGCACCCTCTAGAAGAAAAGAGACCGCTTGAAAACCATTCTGAGACCCAGCTCCTGCTCCACCTCCTCCAGCTCCTCCTAAGCCCCAGCCTAAATCCCTAAACCACCTGGCTCTCCAAAAGGGGCTCACAGTGGAGCCAGCCACAGGGAGATTAAGTGCCTTCCACTAAAAAAAATACCAAGACCCCTGGTAGGCAGCCCTCATCCTGCTACACAAGCCAAGGAAAACGACCTGAGAAGCCACTGGCTCCAAAACATTGGCTTCGCTGGCTCCTACGTCCACCTCTTCCTGTCCCCAACCTTCAAAGGAACAAGTTTCTAGCAAAACATTAACCACGGGGACCACCAACAGCAAGGAAAATCTAGCAAGCAGCCAACACCTCAACCATTATGAGATGCAACCAGTCTGGCATGGTGAGCTTTAGAGGAGATCTTTCCAGAACAGAGTGGAGAGTCTCAAAATTTAGCAACCATGCCTGTCTCCAAAGAGCAGACCACACACAAATTCCACAAGTCTGTGATCCTTGTGTCCCATGTTCTACCTCCTCCTCTTGACAATCAACACATCATTCCCTCAGACACTCCTGCTGTCCTGGTTAGTGACGGAGCTCCCCTGCCCATCTCTGCCTTAAACCCAAGTCAGCTTCTCTGGACTGAGAGCCAACAGACAGAACCACTCTGCATCAGACACTGGTTTACACATTAGAGAAGACAACATTTTCACAACCAGCAACACATCCGGAAAGACAGCACCTCAGCTAACAATTCCTGCACTGATGGGAAAATCTTCAGAATCTTTCAGTGTCTCAAAGGATGAAGATCAAAGGGAATCACTGGGCCAATGACTCTGACGAGTCTATTTTGGACACCGATGACCACAAGGAAGAAGAGAAGGATGGCAGTGGAGGTTCTGGCACTTAACATAGGTTAAGAATACTCTCACAATCATTCTTGGCAACTGATCATCTAAGAATCAGAGGAGAAAACACTGTGTAGCAACATCTGAGCAAGAGAGTCAGGGAATCCGACAACAAACTGGAAAGTAATTGGGAGACTCAGAGGCCCCCAATGGAAGCTATCCTAAAATAAAAGAATAAAGAAGTAGAGGGCTGGGTGCGGTGGCTCACGCCTGTAATCCCAGCAGTTTGGGAGGCCGAGGCAGGCAGAACACGAGGTCAGGAGATCGAGACCATCCTGGCTAACACGGTGAAACCCCATCTCTACTAAAAATACAAAAAATTAGCCGGGCGTGGTGGCGGGGGCCTGTAGTCCCTGCTACTTGGGAGGCTGAGGCAGAAAAATGGCATTAACCCAGGAGGCGGAATTTGCAGTGAGCCGAGATTGTGCCACTGCACTTTAACCTGGGCGATAGAGCAAGACTGTCAAAAAAAAAAGTAGAAGAAACAAAAATACAACTAAAAGGCAAACTCAGCAGAAAGCTCAGCCTGAGACCCGCAGTGGGGCAGCTGTAAGCCCTGGACCAGGTTAGCATCTACAGACAAAGCAGTGATAAGGACTGAACAAAGTAACTTAAAGGTTTCATTGTCCATCATGCCATGTGAGACTATTTGGGTCATCTTTAGGGGGAGCCCTATGTGCTGAAAACCTGATAACACACTGAATGCATGTGTTTCGGCCTCACTTGTCATGAAGGAAGAGTGGGCAGCTGCTTTTTGGGGAAGAACTCAGCTGTACAGCCCAAATGCAGCAATGAGCAACAGGAAGAATGCACTGGCCTTCACTAACACACATGACTGATGCTAAGTTACGTGTGACTGATGGTAAGCTATTCTTCATTGGGAGCTTTATTTTTTTTTATTTATTTATTTTTCGGGTTTTTTTTTTTTTTTTTTTTTTGAGACAGAGTCTCACTCTGTCGCCCAGGCTGGAGTACAATGGCGTGATCTTGGCTCACCACAACCTCTGCTTGCCGGGTTCAAGCAATTCACCTGCCTCAGCCTCCCAAGCAGCTGAGACTACAGGCATGCGCCACAATGCCCAGCTAATTTTTTTATTTTTAGTAGAGACAGGGTTTCACCATGCTGGCCTGGTCTCGAACTCCTGACCTCATGATCTGCCCACCTCAGCCTTCCAAAGTGCTGGGATTACAGGCACGAGCCACCGCACTCGGCCCTAGGAACTTTAATTAAAGAAGAACAGAAGATACTCACTGTTCTCTGTTACCGGAAAGCCAAATTCTATAGTGCTGGATTAAAGAAAAATAGGAAATGCATTTACTGGGCACTGGAAAGAGGTGGGAGTCAAAAATCAGGGGAAAAACAGAGAAGCATTTCATCACGTTAGTGAATAAAAGAAAACTGAAGCACAATGGTATTTCTGAGGCAGATATTTGGTGGCTGAGAACTTAAAAGATTTGAGACTCTAATCACCCAACAGGGACTTTTTTTTTAAGAGACAGGGTCTCACTATATTGTCCAGGCTGGTCTTGAACTGCTGGCCTCAAGTGACCCTCTGACCTCAGCCTCCCAAAGCACTGGGATTACAGGTATAAGCTACAGTGCCCAGCCAGTGATTTAAAGACCTAATCCTAGAGGACTATTCTTGTTTCACCACACTTTTTTTTTTTTTTTTTTTTTTTTTGAGACAGGTTCTCACTCTGTCACCCAGGCTGAAGTTCAGTGCTGCAGTCATGGCTCACTGCAGCCCCAAACGCCTGAGCTCAAGAGTTCCTCCCTCCTCAGCCTCCTGAGTAGCTGGGACTATAGGCATGCACCACAACACCAGGCTAATTTTAAAATTTTTTTGTAGAGATGAGCTCTCAAACTCCTGGACTCAAATGATCCTCTTGCCTCGGCCTCCCAAAGTGCTGGGGTTATAGGTGCAAGCCACCATACCATTATTCATTATTTTGATTAATACAATTGTCAGAAATAAGTATGTTTTTATGAATCTTTGCAAGAGGCTTCTAATGACTCTTAAAGCATCCTTACCCAAACTTTGTTGCAAACTTTAAATAGCAAAGCTATATACACTTTACATTTTTTAATACTCTTCACCCCACGGCACCAATTTTCCATAAAAATTACAGAATTGGAAATCAAATCATCAAGTGCAATGTACCCTACAAAATGGTAGCCAGCACTAGAAAGAAACCTTTTGGTTTTCCCCAATTTTGATTATCCCAAAGTAGACACAAAAATACTTGATTGAAGAAAGATGATATTGACAATCATGATGATATTGATACACTCTTAAAAATCTAAGTGCAGTTAAAACTCAAGAAAAATGCAGGTGTGCTGCCAGCAGTTATTTTTGAATGGGAATTAAAAGTACTCTTTTTTTTTTTTTTTGGTGCTACATTAACTTGGATTGCTGCCACTAAAAAAAAAAACAAGTGAAGGAGGTGAATCAAAATAGCTTTACCAAATGACTTAAACAAACACAAAAACCTTCTGCTAGGTTGTGTGTGAGGAAAACTTCAGCTCTTATTTTTAAAGTCCACAAATTACATCCATACATAACAGTATTTACTATCAAAGTGAAAAAAATCCATGGGTTTAATGTCATGGGATGTTTCCCTATGAATCCACAAGTCAATGTTGTTTTTTATTCCTTTTAATACATAAATACTATCTTTCATTTAATTGTATTTTCAAGCACATTTTATGCCCCTCTTACTAAAAACACGCAAAATGTATGAGATAAAATCGAACTAGAGTGCTTTATTCTTAAAGCTTGGGTTACAATTTCCTAAAATGTTTCTGATTTATAACACTAAAGATTATCATTTTAGATTTCAGCCTAAAGGCAAGCATTCAATCTAGTGGATAAATTTAGATCCCGCTATTCATTGATATTTTTAAGAACCACTTGAAACTGGATGGTTTTTGTTATTTAAAAAAAAAAAAAAAAAGAATATTAGTTGGCCTATTTATTTTATGCAAGGCCAGGACCACTTTATAACCAATAAAAATACCCAGCCTCACTGCACCTCTTGTTGCACTCACTTATGTGCATTAATACAATAAACCTAGATTCTAGGGCAGGGAGGGGGAAACCCACAGCCCGCTGCAGGCTGTAGTTCGGCAGTTTAAATTTTTTTTAATCAAATACTGCACCAAAATATTTTTCTTCATTACCAAGTTTTTAGAGCCTCCTTAATTTTGCATCCAAGGCAAGTGCCTCAGTCAGCTTGCCTTACTACCAGCCCATAGAGGAAACAGCCAAGCGCCATGCATCCATGCTCACAGCTTTAGGGACAATTGCCAGTGTTAATCATGACAACTTCCCAACATCTGTTAAGCAAGCTGGTCACCTGGACACCACTCCAACTTACCTGGGGTCACAGTCAATGAGGGCCCAGCCCCCATGGAACTTCTCATCATCAGGCAGTAGTAACTTCATGTAACTTTGTAAGAGCTGGCTAATTAGTTCCTGGTGGCTTCTCTGATTTTCCTTATGCAAAGCTTCATGTTCTTTCTCCTTGGTAAATATGGAATAAAGATCTTCTGTCACTGGAATGCCTTGCATCAAATCTAGGGTGGAATTGTTAATATCTATCATCATTTTAGTTTACTAATATCTTTTTAAAGAACAAAAGAGTATAAGACATAAAACTGTAAAGCTCTTGGAAGAAAACACGAGCATAAATCTTTGTGACGGATTAGGCATGATTTTTAAGATATGATACTAAAATCATAAGCAACAAAAGAAAAAGACAAATTGGACATCATAAAAATTAAAAACTGTGTTTCAAAGGGCACCATCACAAAAGTGAAAAGATGACCCCTAGAACAGGAGAAAATATTTACAATTCATCTATCTGGTAAGGGACTTGTATCTAGAATAAAGAACCCCTACAAATCAATAATAAAAAGATAAGCCAGTTGTAAAATGAGCAAAGATCTGAACAGACAAGCTAACTTCCTCTTGGCAGGGCATGCGGCGCAGCCTTAATAAATCATTATAATCCCATTCCCTATCCTCCCTATCTCACTGTCTCATGGGACAATGACACTCAAGGAGGCTTCGGTGAAAAAAGATCTGCCAACCACTGGCCCTACACAGGAAAGAGACAAGCACAGATTGCTACTGGCTTCTATCTCTCAACCTTGAAGATCTCTCAGCCAGCTTCAGGATCTGGATGCAGCTGATGCTATGGATGGCTGAACTGAGAGGAGACAGAACTGGGGTCCTCAATGATATAACTGAGTAGCTAGGTCAACCAATGGAAGCAAATACCTTCTTTTTTCCTTGAATATCAACTGCTAAAATCCAATTCTGTAGTCACAGCGTGCACCCTCCATGTCTGGCAAATGAATCAAACTTCTTTACATCACACTTCTCAAATTCCTAAGTGGCCTGTGTCTAGGCCCTACTAGACTGATGTGTGCACTAAATAATCAGGTGAAGAAATAAGATTTCAAAAAGACCCTCAGGGACCACAGGTCAGCTATATTACATTTGGTTCTAATCCAGAACACTCTGCATTTACTTTAATCCTATACAGTAACATCTTCATGAAAATTAAATTTAAAAAATGTCAATGCATAAATTCTACTGGGCAATCTATCCTTCCATTTCCTCTTCCAAAAAAATGAGTTGGTTAGGGTAATCTCTAAATCTGGTACCCTAATATTCTGTTAAACCATGCTTATGGAAAAGGCTGGTATATTTGTCCACAGCAAGAACATACAACAAATAGCATACAGGAAAAATAATCTGGTTACATTGCTCAGTCTTGAGTAATGAGAAAACAAACGGAATAAGAAGTTTTAAATTGTTGAGATTTTAGGGTACCTTATTCCACACTCCAGGAGCTTCAAACCCTGCTTTGTATTACCTGGGTAACAAACTGACGAATATGCATGGAAAATAGATGGTTTCTTTTGTTGCTCCAGCCAAAAATATTTGTCAAATTCTAATCTTGTAAAAATTTGAATTTGATGTATTGGGTAAGATGCTCAATACAGAAACACAAGTATATTACAAAACATGAATTATGTTAATGAAGCTGGTTTCTGTAAAGTATTAGTCACAGAAGACATAAATTTTGAGGAAAGAAAAGCTTTTCTGCTTCTTACCTATAACAGCTTGCCTATAAGCATCCTTAAATCGGTTGAGGTAATATCTGTTTGCTGAGTTCACTCCATCTTTCATAACTCCTGCTAACTTCCTTTCTCCTGTCCTTGTAAAGTCACCCTGTCAAACAAAAACTCATTTTGACACCTTATTTAAACACAAGAATGCCCCCAAAATAAATTGTGAGCTTTCAGTTCAAGTATGGAATTCTACAGGCTTTTGTAATTTCCAAGGTCTGACTTTTATAATTTTCAAATAGTATAGTTAAATTAAAATATCTACTAGTATTCTACCCTGATCTAAGCTCGTCAAATAATTACACATGCTATTTGTGGCATCAAGTCTTCACAGTTAGATGGTGCTTTAAGGTAAAGCCATTCTTAGCAATTTGTAGAACTTCTAGAATTTACAGGTCAAAACCAATTATATGACAAACACCAAAACAATAAAAACTATTTACATCTCAAGCTGGTGCAATATTCAAAAACCAAGTTTCTGATGTGGGAAAATGTGGATAGCTCCCTAGAGTTTATCACAATGGGCTTTCAGCCTGGGCGTGTAGGTGAGGAGCTCTACGCAGGGAGGAAAAGCAGGGGTTTCCATACCTTGCTGCACATCACCAGCACCTGCAGAACCCAGTGACAACTTAAACTGTTTTGTTTCCCTTGCACTTTTCACAACAAAGATGTCAGAGCAAGTCCCTAGACAAGTGGTGACTTAAACTTAAGGCAAGGCAGGTGTAGTTTCTTTTTCCCTATCCCAACCCCTCCATTTCTCTCCAAGGCAATCTCAGAAATCTCAGTCCTAAAACTGACAATTTAGGAAGAACATGCTGCCAATTAGGCCAGTCACAGGGAATATTAGTAGAGCAACAAGTCTCCATTACAGAAAAAAGGTATGAATACTCATCTCGAAGAAGTTTAAAATCAAGGGGAAAAAAAGAGAAGTATTTTGCTTTAAGCACTAACTTATACCAGGCCTTTTTTTTTTTTTTTTTTTCTTTTTTTTGAGACAGAGTCTTGCTCTGTCACCCAGGCTGGAGTGCAATGGTGCAATCTCGGCTCACTGCAACCTCCGCCTCCCGGGTTCAAGTGATTCTCACTCCTCAGCCATCTGAGTTGCTGACATTACAGGCTCACGCCACCATGCCCAGCTAATTTTTATATTTTTGTAGAGATGGGGTTTCACCTTGTTGGCCAGGCTGGTCTTGAACTCCTGACCTCAGGTGATCCACCTGCCTCGGCCTCCTAAAGTGCTGGGATTACAGGGGTGAGCCACTGTACCTGGCCTGTACCAAGACTTCTAAAGTTTACCTTCTGTAATTAATAAAAAGCTTTTGATATTTATCACTCAACGCAAAAAAAGGACTGATGCCTGTTAAGTCCTTGATGGTACAATCTGTATAAGAAGTACCTTGAGATGAACTCGAACCTTGAAGAATGATTAACATAAACCTAATTTAAACAAATTCTAACACTTCCGACTGCCACAGAGGACAACGCCCTCAGATGGAGGAATTTATTTACTAGAGAATGTATTTTATATTTAACTTAATATTCTGTGAGGACTAGCTCTATAGGATCTTCAAAAGACTTTTAACAATAACTAAAACATTTCTTCTGCATTTACGTGTGTCAGAGAATATTCTAAGCCCTTACACGCACTGACTCATATGATCCCATAGCAGTCTTTTGAAATATGTCTGGTATAATTCCTGTGTGACAAATCAGAGTGGTTAAGTGACTTGCCCAAGGTCACAGCTAGTTAAGAGGCAGGGTTGGGATTCAAACTCAAAGACGAAGTATGACACTGGTGGCCAAAACCTGCCAGCAGACATGCTCTGTTCTGTCAGTTTTGAAAACCAACCATTTCATATAAAATTCTGGATTTCCAGAATCCCTTGAAAAACTGGAGGGTCTGGCAACACAGGCCCCTCCAGAGAGAGCACACACTCCTCCTCAGGTCCACACAGCCCCCTCTCCCTCTGATGTAATGCGTGGCCTGCTTGAGTCACATTATCTGGCCCTGCCTTAGCCAAACATTTCAGAAAAGAGTCAACTATACACACCCCCAACCTGGAGCCCACATACCTTTCTGTGGTTTTAAACCACAGTCTAACCTGTGTCCTACATAATGACCCACAGATGCTTGCTGCAAGTATTTACCTTCAGAGCAGCTGTCCCAGCATACTGTCTGCTAATGGAGTCACCATTATTGGCCCACATTATCTGGTAGATGCGATTACATTTCACAGGTAATGGCTGTTCCGGGGGCATCACACCTAATTTTTTCAGCTAAAATGAACACATTGGTGGATTAACTGTATATGGGCCAGGAAACCATAGCAAAAAAATGTGTACTGCAGAAAAAGGAAACATATTCACATACAATTCAGGACCCTTAGATACAACAAACAGTCTTTTCGGACTCGTTGTTAATGAAGCGGGGCTTGAAGGGTGGCTTTATACATTGCTACAAGGTGAATACATATAATGAAATATTTATACTGTTTTGGTACAATTTTTAATGTGCAGAATCATACTATTATATTTTGTCTTTGTTTTAAATTTGCCTATGAAGTGAAACTGAATATCAAAAAAGCACACAGAAACAATACTAATAGTGGCAGAATAGTTAAGTGCCTGCTAAGTGTTAACTCTGTGCCAAGGATAGGGTTGTAAGAGTTTTTTTACACTGTTTTTTCACATTCACTAGTCCTAACAACACTATGTAATCACTACTGTTATCACCTACATTTTACAAATGATGAGACTGAGGTTTGGAGAGGTTAAGTTCTTTGTACGGAGTCAAAACCTTGTATGTGGCAGAGTCAGGGCTTGAACTCAAACCTGGCTTAAACACTACGTAAGATAAACAGATTCATGTCCTCAAAGTACAGTCACAAGGTTATTTTATGTATTTTATTTTATTAATTTTTATTTTAAAGATAGAGTCTTACTCTCTCCCCCAAGCTGGAGTGCAGTGCACGATCTGGGCTCACTACAACCTCCGCCTCCTGGATTCAAGTGATTTTCATGCCTCAGCCTCCCGAGTAGCTGGGACTACAGATGCCTGCCACCATGCCCGGCTAGGAGGGAGGGGGTTTTAGTAGACGGGGGGTTTTGCCATTTTGGCCAGGCTAGTCTCAAACTCCTGAGCTCAGGTGATCCACCTGCCTCAGCCTCCCAAAGTGCTCGGATTATAGGCATGGGCCACTGCGCCCAGCCTACACACCACATTTCTGCTTGGCCTGCTGGATCTGCCAATAAGAGGCACTCAAGGAAGCCCATGACGCAGGAGAAGGAAAAAGACACAGGTTCCTTCACCTGTGTTCCTCCCGTCAGCAGCTCCCTCCCCAATAGCCTGGGCAACAGAGCAAGACTCCATCTCAAAAAGAAAAAAGAAAAAGAAATGCAATATCAAGACTCCCAGCCCCAAACACAGAAGGGTGGGCTTGGAGGTGAGAGAGAAAAGGTAAATGACAACACAGTGCCACCCAACGGACTTTAAAATGTTGGTCGTCACATTTTTGAAACGAGTGATTAAGAAAATCTCAAATAATATTTAACTTATTTCCAGTGCAGGTTGTGCTTTCCAGGTTTTAATGCAACAAGGGTATTTGTATGCTGTAAGCATTCTATAGAATATTTGACATTTGAAAAATATTTAGCTATTTACTTACTCATGGAAAAAAAGCATTTCAAAATAAGTATTTGCAATCCAACAGACTCCAAATTACCTGCTGTTCCATGACCACTCTCGCGATGGCAGCTTGGACCACGTTGGTGCGATCCAGGCAGTCCATACAATTAACACGAAAAATCCCTTCCTGCTTACATATTACCCCAGCTTCATCAACCCTTTTTAAAAATAATACAGAATTATTTTACAATATAAAATAATAGGGTTTTCAAAAGACACAAGTCTTTAAAGTATAACAATAAAACAGCAGCATTGGCTATAATTTGCTTGGTATATCTTTATATGCTATGCATTATTGAGTCATTTATAGACATCATTGTTAATTTACACAATAACATCGCAAGGAAGATATCATCCTCATCTTAAGGGAAAAAAAAATTGGGGTGCAAAGTGACTTGCCCCAAGTCCTACAACTACTAGGCAGAGCTGACATCATCCCAAGTTATGTTTTCCTACATGTAAAAAACCAGAAGGCACTTTAAAACACCGTTGTTCCTTTAAAGTAGAAATGAATCTAAACTCTCCAAAACAGATGAAGTTATTTTACCACCCAGTGAGGAGTCATGCAGCATGGCTTGCTCATCTCATTTCTCTGGCCATCCGTGTAGTCTTAACATCTAATCGAATGTTCTGTTCTGTACTTTAAGCCAATTTAAACTTCCTGTATTCAGAACCATTTTCCGTCTCCGATAATTTTGAAATGCCTGAAAACTGAGACCAAGTACCTCTAAGCCTTCCTTCCTGTGTTAGGAACAGTAAGAGGAGAAAGAGAAAATGTGGACCATGGGGCATGAGAAGGAATAAATTCATCTCCTTAAAGAACAGTCAGAGTGTTTCACTTCATTTGGCCTGACCATTTCACACCTTCTCCCTGTTCAAAGCTAACACCACCTGCCTAAGGGTCAACAACATTCTCTTGAAAAGAATAGGAACTGGGAAGCAAAACGAACAACAAAAAAATGCCGTCTCTGCATACTGTTATCAGTTTGATGCCCAGTGGCACTATGATTTCACAGATCCCAGAGTTTGTAAAAAGGAATTCTTGTAAAATACCTACCAACACCACTTCATATCAAGAATAATGTCATAAATGGCATCTGTTAGGGTCTGAACATTCTCAAACTTCATTCCTCGGCTAAAATCCATGCCAAAAGAAAGAAAAAATATTTAATTTAATCATAGATTTTTTTTAAAACTTAAGATATGCTATTTAATGCAGTTTGGAAAACACTGCAACTGATCAACACTATTCTCAGAAAGCCATCTTACCAGTGCTCATGGAAGTCAAAGGAAACGTAAGTGAGGTGTGAGTTATTGAAAAGCAACACTTGCTTCAGGTAAGCATCGCCAATAATCTTCTCTCTTCCTGCCTGGTCTACCAAGTTAATAATAACCTATAAGAGCAAAGAAACAGAAAAAATTAAGTTTAATTAGATGTTAGAATCATAATGTGGTTTTTAACAATTTGGAATTATGTGTTAGAAATACTTTATAGCCATGCTTAGAAATTAATTCACTCAAATATCAATTTTTTTCCTATAAAATTTCATTTGTTACCTACATTTAAGTTTATGAGAATTGACATCAATGACAGTAATAGCTTTTCTATACATTTGCAATAACCAATTAGAATGAAATAATGAAAACAAGGTCCTTTGTAATAGCAAATATTTTAGATATCTAGATTTAAAAAGAAATATAGAAAGCCTAAATACTGAACATGATAAAATGCTGCTGAAGTACATAAAGCATATGATAGAAAACCTGAACAAACAGAAACATATACCATGTTGCTAGGCAGCAAGGTTCAATACTGTAAAGATTTCAAGTCTCCACCAATTAATCTATACACTGAACCATCCTAGTCAAAATTCCTCAGGATCTGTTAATGAACTTGACAACTCAAAAGTTCATCTGGAAGAGTAAATACGTGGAAAAAATTTGGAAACTAATAATAAAAAAGGGACTTGCCCCATTGGAGAGCAAAACATACTCTAAATCTGTAGCAATTAAAACTGTCATACTAATGTAGAAATAGATAAGTGACTCAACAGAACAGGAGTGGTGGCCCAAAGGCAGACCTAGGTAAACACTGAAGAATCTAAGATATGCTCATGATACCACTGTGGGGCAAATATGGACTAGTCTGTAAATGCTACTGGGATGTCTATGTGTGGGGTAAGGAGAAACTTACATTAGCTCCCTACCTCATTAATTATACACAAATAAATTCTAGATGCATTAATAATCTAAATAGTATTTCTAGTTATAACAGAGCTAGAAGATAACTTGGAATAATGTTTCCATAAACGTAGGTTGGGGCATGACTTTCTAAGCATAACATTAAACAATTTTAAGCCTGTGTACCAAATGACAGTATAAGCAAAGGTAAGAAAGCAAAGTGCTACCTAGGAGAATACACCTGCAACATAAAAACCAATAATGCATAAAGAGTCCTAAATACAATAAGGAAAAAAATGGGTAAAGGATACAGAGGAAATCCACATGAGAAAATATACAAATAGCTAATAAACATGAAACTACAATTTCTGAACCTATACTCAATGAAGAGATGACAACTTTAATACTCAAAGAAGTGCAATTTAAAACAGAAAATGAATTTTCACCTATACCTAGGCAAATGTGAATACTAAACACAGACTGCACTGGTCAATATGTGAGGAAATGGGCACTAGCTCCTACTGCTGCTTTAAAACAAAAAACAAAACAAAACAAAAAACTGGTACGCTCTTTTCAGAAGCAAAAGAATGGTGAGCATCAAGTTTAAATATACATACTGTCTGATCCAGCAATTTCAACATAAATTCATTCTATAAAACGTACAAGTTCCCAAAATATATAAAATGCTTTCTGTTCCTAGTTCATGGAGTTTTTTAAAAAAGAGACATTTTCTGGAGAATTTTTATAATATTAACAGCAAAATAACTAGTATATCCTAAAGGTCCACCAATAGAGAAATGGCTAAACAGCAGCCATGAGATCTTAAATGAAAACAGCGGTACAATCATATATATGGCATAGTTTTGTTTTGACTCGAGTTTTTAATTGTGTATATGCGTGTGTCAAGGTGGTTTTTTTGCTGCGTATGACAAATTTGAGTCAACTGACTCATACCTCAGAACAAGTCTGGAAGTAGGACGGTTCCAACATGGCTTAACAGTGATTCCCAATACCATTAAGGACACAGGTTCTTTCCATCCCTTTACTCTGCCATTCTTCCCATCTTTTTTATTCTGCCAGCATACTGGCTGATCCTGAGGCTGGTTCCTTCACAGTCTTGAGAGAGCTGTAGCAGTTCCACATGAAACCCAGACACAGCAACCACATGGGGACTATTGGTTCCTGTATCTCTTATTAGAGCAGGAAACCTGTTCCCAGAAGCCTCCCAGGGGACTTACAGGTGCACGCCTGAACCAATCACTGGTGAGAGCAATGGGACCACCATGACTGAGTCAGACCCACCGTGGGCCCATCGCCCTGGAAAGCAATTACTCAGGAAAAGGCGGAAAAATGAACACTGTTGGGGTACTGTTAGAAATCAGGAAGTGTCTGTTCAATACACACACCTAGAAAATTGATGTGAAAGTCAACAGGGAGCAGGGATGTGTGGGGGAAACGGTTATTTCCTCTGCTTACACACCTTAATATTGTGTTGTTTTATAATTGCATGTTACATTTAAACTGTGGTTTATTCGTTATTGTATTTTTATTTTTAAATTTTACTTATTTACTTATTTATTTTGGAGACAGAGCCTCACTCCATCACCCAGGCTGGAGTGCAGTGGCACAATCATGGCTCACTGCAGCCTTCACCTCCTGGGCTCAAGTGATCCTCCCACTTTGGCTTTCTGTGTAGCTGGGACTACAGCCATGCGCCACTAGGCCTGGCTAATTTTTAATTTTTTGTAGAGACAGCCTCTATTCTTTATAGCTACTTATAATTACACATATTACTAATTCATGAATTTATTCACATTGAAAGAAATTCAAATGTAAAATAAGGTCAAATCCTTCCTGACCACAACCCAATCCCATGGCCCTCCCTGGAGGTAACCTCTGTTATCAGTTGGGTGTGTCCCCATTCAGCCCACATAAATGCATTTCTGTACAAATATGCGTGTCATATGTGTGTGGATAGAATAGATGGAAGAGAATCGCCTGTATGTAAATGACCTAATTTTGTTTTGTGGGATTTTTTAAATGGCTAACATACCATATGCTGTTAAAGTTTTCTCTTCTTACTCCACAAGGTGATTTTAAGATCTTCCCATGTTAGTACACGTGGATTTACCTCATTTTTTTCCACCATTTATATTCAATACTTTAGATGTGCCATGCTTGATTTTCCCACCCACTGTCCTCCTGATGAACAATTAGGTTGTTTCTACACTGCAATGAGTGTCTGTGTTCATGCCTCCTTGACTGAATATGTTTCTCTCAGACAGATTTAACAATTTTTTCTATTACAGTTCTAGTTGCTCCACGCCCTTGTCAAAATTTGGTATTCCCTCCACCTTCTTTTTTTTTGGAGACAAGAGTCTTGCTCTGTCACCCAGGCTGGAGCACAGTAGTATGACCTTGGCTCACTGCAACCTCTGCCTCCTGGGCTTAAGTGATTCTCCCACTTCAGCCTCCTGAGTAGCTGGGACTACAGGTGCATCCCACTGTGCCCAGCTAATTTTTGTATTTTTGGTAGAGAAAGGATTTCTCCATGTTACCTAGGCTTCCTGACTTTATGTTAGCCATTCTGTTGTGTTGAGTAGTGGCTTTAATTTGCATTTTCCTGACAGTTAATGAAGCGGAGCCCTTTTGCATACATCTGTTGACTTTCGGGATATCCTCTTTTGTCCAGCTCTCTTTTGGGTTGTACATCCTTTTGAATAAATGTATAGGTTTGTTTTTTTTTTTGAGACGGAGTCTCACTCTGTCGCCCAAGCTGGAGTGCGATGGCGCAATCTCGGCTCACTGCAACCTCTGCCTTCTAGGTTCAAGCAATTCTCCTGCCTCAGTCTCCCGAGTAGCTGAGATTACAGGCACCAGCCACCATGTCCGGTTAATTTTTTGTATTTTATTGTATTTTATTTTATTTTATTTTAAGTAGAGATAGGGTTTCACTATGCTGGCCAGGGTGGTCTCAAACTCCTGACCTCATGATCCATCCACCTCAGCCTCCCAAAGTGCTGGGATTACAGGCATGAGCCACCGCACCTGGCCAGCATTTTTAAATATACTCTACATGTAAGACCTTTGTCATACATACACTGAAAAATCTTAAATATCTTCTACCACTTTGTGAACTGCCTTTCCATTCTCTTGTGTTTTTTTTTTTTTTTTTTTTTTGAGCCTCAGACGGAGCCTCACTCTGTCGCCCAGGCTGAAGTGCAGTGTCTTGATCTCGGCTCACTATAAGCTCTGCCTCCCGGGTTCAAGCCATTCTCCTGCCTCAGCCTCCCGAGTAGCTGGGACTACAGGCGCCCACCACCACGCCTGGCTAATTTTTTTGTTAGAGACAGGGTTTCACTGTGTTAGCCAGGATGACTTGATCTCCTGACCTCATGATCCACCTGCCTCGGCCTCCCAAAGTGCTGGGATAACAGGCAAGAGCCACCGCACCCAGCCTCTCTTATGCCTTAACAAAAGTTTTTTATTTTAATAAAGTCAAATTTATCATTTATTTTTCACTATGGTGTTTTCTAAAGCCATATATAATTTTAATACAATTTGAATAATATTTACAATAGTATTTTAATATTTACAATTTAGTAAAGTTTTAATAAAAACAAATTTAAAGTCTATTTGTCAATTTTTTCATTAGAGTGTTTTTTTAAAAATAAAAACTATCTCCTAGATGGGCATTACCTCTTATTAAATAACTAATAAAATATGTGATACATAATAATACATTGAAAACATGGGAAGACAATAGTTAGTGCTTTTTAAAGTCCTATTTAAGATACCAGGTCAAAAAGACGTTCTATTTTTTCTTCTAAAAGCTTTATTGCTTAACCTTTCACATTTAGGTTCATAATCCATCTCAACTGATTTTTGTATAGGGTATATAAGATAGATATCAAAAATTAAAATTACTGGGTTAAGCAATGTAAGTATGTTTAATTTAATTGATAATACCTTCAAAATGGCTGTACCAACTTATGCTCCTTCAACCAATGTGTGACAGTTATTTCAAAACCTAAATACTCGCCCCTTTAACTCTTATCATCAAACCTCATAATTTTTTCAATCTGAGGGTTTGCTATTTCCCTGCTAAGACTTTGTGATTGCCCAAAATTTATATATTAATTTAGGAGAACTGAAATCTATTTAATATTGAGACTTCCCTTCCAGGAACATGGTATTTTCTCTCCACTTAAGTCAGGTTTTCTGTTGTGTTCTTCAGTAGTTTTTTTTCTTTTTTTCCTCCATATACATGCTATCTTTTTGTATGTTATTTTAGGTTGTTTCTTCCTATTTCATTTTTGTTGCTGAAAAAAAATGCATTTACCTGTTCATTACACATTACACAGCATTACTCATTCACACTGGTCATTGCTAATGGATAACAGCATTACTATTATATATTCGTCTTGTATCAAAATCGTTGAACTTGTATCTCACCTACCAGTTTTCAGTTGATTTTGGTTTATACACTTGCATTCCTATATGGGAGTGCATATGAAGGTGAGCAGAGAAAAAAAGATACTGAAAAATACATAACAAGTTATCTCTAGGATGTGGAACTGTAGGTGGTACTGAGACATGCCTTTCATTCCTTGGTCTAGATGCTTCTTAGATTGTTATAATTAATTGATAGTCTAATCTCTTCACGCTATCCAAACACAGTCTAAAGTAGTGGACTCAGCTGGGCACAGTGGCACGTGCCTGTAGTCCCAGCTACTAGGAAGGCTGAGGAGAGAAGATTGCTTGAGCCCAGGAGTTTGAGTACAGCCTGGGCAATATAGTAAGACAGAATCTCTTAAAAAAAAAAAAAAGGTAGCTGACTCAATGATTATTCTTAAAGAATATTAAGAAAACTGTTAGCTTAAATGTATTTAACATCATGACAAATGCTTTAATTTTGAATAGTACAATGTTATTTTTATGAAATTTAAAGAAAAAGATAGTTATTTCTAAAGATGAAGGAACATTTTACTACTGTAGATCAAAGCCCACCTGTTTTTTGTAAATGTTCAGTTGTTCTTCGAAATGGGCACAGAAATAGGCAACAGTTTCCTTTTCACCTACAAAGAAGTAATACAAAATCTTTTTTTCCTTCCCATGTTTAAGACATATTAGTGTCTACTCCATCTTTATTCTTACTTTTAAATAATTTATTGACAGCCCAAATGAACTAAGATTGTCTAAAACCATCATTTAAAAATGAAATGCTAAGTCAAAGATCTGATTTTTTTCCAATTACACTACACTAAAATATATCTGAAAGTGCAAACTATGACATTATGAGATTACTTATATATCCAGCCTACTTCTCAGAAACGCTTTCACGTAGTTTAAAAGAGCATAAAAACGCCTCTAAAACAATATTTTAAAAACCAAAACTGTACTGAATTCTCATGAATACCAACTAAGGAGAGAGAAATATACTTTAACAATTTTTAAAAAATCAGCCTCATTCAATAATTAGATTTAAATGACTTAGCTATTCCAATACTAAAGACAAGACACTGGAAGAAACAAAATACTCAAGATTTAAATTTAAAAAATTAAAAAAAAAAAAACTTTCAGAGAAAAATATTGGAGTAAAGGCGTCTTATTGATTTTTGGTAGATTCCATCTTAAGCCATCTCCTGCTTCTACAAATATTGGCTAGATTTGCACCTTTCTAAAGTTAAACATTCCATACAGTACTCTTCAAAGCAAGAGCAATTTAAAGTCTCTGAAGTAAGCTGTTTTGCTCTACTGTTAGAGAAATTTTGTACTGTTAAATAAGTGACTTAGTCAACTATTTTTATTCCTGTGATTATTACACCACTTTCTATTACATTTTTCAAATACAAGTTATTGTTTTGAATGAAGTATCTGGCAAAGCAAATCCAAACCCAACAGGTATCTAATTTCTTAAAAACTATTCTCTCTGAAATCATCATTTGCAAACAATATAATTGACCTGCTTACTTTTGTCCAGCCGCGGTCTTGGATTATATCGATACCCAACCTGGCTCCAAAAGACAGGCACAGAGCCTCGTGTTTGAACAAACGACAGGGTATGATTATGAACATGAATTAACTGCTCAGTCTCCACATAATTTGCAACATTTCCATTTTTATCCACTCCTCTTCGTTTATAGCGCATTCCTGAAAGAAAATTAAAACAGAAAACAGCAACATTTTAAAAAATTTATTTAGTCTGACTAGATTATGCTTCCTAATCAAATGTATGCCTTCCAGGATAGTCTTGGGGATTCAGTGTGCAACTGCCAAGAACAGTATCAACTTACCCCAAATCTTAACTGTATGCATCATTGTTTTTAACAAGTTGAAGCTCAGTTCTTCTGAACTGAAAGAAAGGTTTTCCCAAAGGCGCTAGCACACAGGAAGGATTTATCACGGTGATACAGGCTGTCAGTGGAGTGCCAGTATTCTGAAGCACATCTCAAGTGACTTTCTCTCTTCTCTCTATATATGTACCTCCTTTTCCTTTTCATTTTGCTAACTCTTATTCACCCCTCTTCAAAAATTTGTCTCCAGTTATATCACAGTATTTAGAGTCCCCAAGCACTTTGAAGCCAACTGTGTTTCCAAATCCATTATTGTCATTAGCATTTCAACACATCTGCAGCTTTTCCATTCTCGCCTGGATTTGATTTGCATGCTATTAGAGCCCTCCACTCACCTGCTCTGTGCCTACTTCGGCGTGAAATGAGAGCCACTAGAAATCGTGGGTGAATATCATCTACACAGGTGGACTCCTGAGGGGGGGTCTCCGGGCTGCTTTTCTCATCATCAGATGATTCGGTATAATTAACCACAAGTTCTTCAATCTGTACGAAACCTTGGATCATGGGGATAATCCAAAAGTTCACATCTGGGGTCTGAAAACAAAATGAACATCATATTGTTTCTATTCTGTACAGCACTGCTACTTTCTTAAACCCAAACAGCAGTCGGCACATATTTCTCAGTTTATTAGAAGCAGAAACCTTCCATTATTCAACCATATTTTCTGCTTATTGAAAAACACCACGGAAGGAAGGGACAGAGGAGGTCGTTCCTTTTCTTTATGGTGAACGCAGCCTAAGAGCCAGGCTGCCTGGGTACAAATCCAAGCCCACCATTTATTAACTCACTGAGGGGAGTCACCCTCACCATCGCTGTCCTTCTCTGTGAAATAGTAACAACTACTTCATGAAAATGTGAAGATTAAATGGATAATACACATAAAGTGTTCAGCACAGTGCCTGCCATATAGGAAGTATTTAACAAATGTTTATGATTCTCAACTCCCAATTGTATTAAGGCTTTAATAAAATACAACCAACTCTGATCCCTTTATTATGAAACACATAGGTCTACTTTATTCTCTGGCTTAGAAAAAAAAAATTTCACTTCCTCAAGCTAAAATCTAAGTCACAAATGAAACAACAAACAAACAAAAAAAAAACCCATTTCATAAATGTCTTATTTTAAAATGTCATCCAACGTAATTAGGACAGTATTGATTAAAGATTTCTTCTTCTGGTCGGTCGCAGTGGATCAACATTGTAATCCCAGCACTTTAGGAGGCTGAGGCGGGTGATTCACTTGAGGTCAGGAGTTTGAGACCAGCCTGGGCAACATGGTGAAACCCCATCTCTACTAAAAATACAAAATATTAGCCAGGCATGGTGGCGCAAGCTATAATCCCAGCTACTTGGGAGGCTGAGGCAGGAAAATCGCTTGAACCTGGGAGGTGGAAGTTGCAGGGAGGTGGAGGTTGCAGTGAGCTGAGATCATGCCACTGCACTACAGCCTGGGTGACAGAGCGAGACTCTGTCAAAAAAACAAATAAATAAAATAAAGATTTCTTCTTCTGTCCCTTTCAGTTAGACTAAGACGACAGATTTCTCAACTTATTGTCTGCAGAGACAGTAAAGAATAAAAATGCTCCAGAAAGTTGTTCTTCGTCCTACTTTCTCTCTTATCTCCCTAAGTGCACCCAGGCTTAATCTCAGCATCCACTTCAAATCCACCTCTTCTTCCATCACCAAACACTCCAGATCCTATCTCACGGTTTTGTTTTGTTTTATGGGGCCTGCAGATACGATGTTAGGAAAGTGGTAAAAATTGAAAATGGTGAGGTAAAGGATCTGTCTGCATTCTTATCACCATTCCCATCATTTATATTTCTGTTCTAGCAATAAATGCAAAACTCTTGACAGGCATAGAGAAATTTATGCTGCCAAATGTCACCTTTGAATATGACAACTTCAAGTCATCAGTTTTAAATGGTAATGTAAAAGCATTCTGACAAAAACTCGGCAAAAACAATTAGAGCTCGATCTTGTCAGCACACAGGACAAATGCTCATTATAGATGCCCCTGCTTTTCTCCTCTACCACTGGGTTTTGGTGGTCACAGTTTGATCCGCATTGCAAACAGAGGTAAGAATAATCTCAGGCCTCATTCTCCATAGAGGCAATTGATGGATATCTAGCGAAGACACCATAGAGTATGGGAAAATCACTGATACTAACCACCAGTAAGGGGGATAAACCAAAAGGAAAAGGTCTGAAATTTCTGAAAGGTTAAAAGATAATATATGACTTTATTCACCTATTTGCCTGCTTTGTTTAGTGTTGAAAAGACAAGTGGCACATAACAGGCCTTCCATAAATATTTGTTGATTGAATGAATTGTCTTCAGACAGTCAATTTTCCAACATACATGACCAAGAAAAGGAAGAAAGTAATCATCAAACCAGAGGAACTCCATGCAATAATCTCATCATATTCTGTATCTTCCCTCAATCAAATACTGGTAGTACAGCAATGGCCTTAGAGATTTGTCTATTCCAATTCCCAGATGGGAAAACAGAGGTGCGGCGAAAGTAAAAATAATTGGTACCATTACAGGAAAACTGGGCTTCAACTTTCCCAATGGGTAGAAAGAAAATACCTCTTTTGGCCGGGTGTGGTGGCTCACATCTGTAATCCCAGCTCTTTGGGAGGCCAAGGTGGGCGGATCACGAGGTTAGGAGATCGAGACCATCTTTGCTAATACAGTGAAACCTGGTCTCTACTAAAAATACAAAAAATTAGCCGGGTGTGGTGGCGGGCGCCTGTAGTCCCAGCTACTCGGGAGGCTGAGGCAGGAGAACGGCGTGAACCTGGGAGGCGGAGCTTGCAGTGAGCTGAGATCGTGCCACTGCACTCCAGTCTGGGCGACAGAGTGAGACTCCGTTTCAACAAAAAAAAAAGAAAAGAAAAAAGAAAATACCTCTTTTGCAGGACCTCTACGAACATGAGTTCCACATCCTTAACTTACCACTATCCTATGGGAATCTGCTAAAAAGACAGGCCTGTGGGGAGGCAGTGGAATTGTAAACTGCCTTAAAATAATGCCTTGGTTTTCCTACCTAAATGATTCCCATTCCATAGGGGAAAACATAGTGATCTTTAAAAATGTATCTTAATTAAAAAAAATTTGCTTAACAATTATATCCAGACGTTTTAGAAACAAATACACCAATTTCAGTGGGGTTAGGATATTTTAGAAACAACTACTCACACCAATCTCAGTAAGATCTTGTATCATGTATTTATTCCAAAAAAATCGGTCATCAACCTAGAAAAGGTGCAGAAACAACAGTTCAGAAACACATTATTTCAGTTTTCCTACAAAAGCCAAAACAGGCCATCACTTGTTCCCAAGGGCAAACCCTGCTCTATGAGCTGTGAGTGGTACCTTCTGCCAGAGGGGCCGACCATCCCTCTCCCCAGTGCTCTGCCTCTGCACCGAATTGGTCAGGTCATAGGTCAAGCTATAATAAAAGGATTCCGAGTCCATGAACATCTTCAGCAACTCTTCAAGCAATCTCCTCTCCAACTTCTCCTTCTCTTTACTTTCCTTAACCTACAAGAAATTAATGTACTATTACTACAGAAATTAAATGTAAAGTAATCTGAGGATAACACATAAATTCCTAAGAGAGAAGTGAAAATAATCCCAAGGATGTAAGGAGACAGTGCTTCAATACAACAAATGGTTTGAAAATAAATTTTCTGAGTACAGAATTATCTCTCCATTTAAAACTAATCAAAGATGAATTCAAAGCCCATATCAATTAAACTCTTACTTTCTTTTTATTAGGAGCAGACACATTGGATTTAATATGCGTAAAGGTCTTCAGTAGAAACTTTGAGTCATCAGGAGATGGTATAATCTTCTCTGGTTTGTTAATACCAAAATGATGCTTCTTACAGAGCTAAATAGGAAGAGAAAGATGATTTGTTATTATTAATATCTGTTAAGTGTTCGAGTGCAAAATTAAATGCTACTGCTCAGGCATTCTGATTAACTGTAAACCTCAAGACTTAGAAAAATTATCAAGTAGATAATTGATGGCACACACAGCTGTGAGTCCCATGATGAGAAAGCTACAGCAGAGGATAAAACACAAAGAATACAGGGCAGGATAGACTTAGGAATTAGAGGTGGAAAATTCAGGTTAGGCTCATAATCAGTTCTCCTCTAACGTAACTGAAGAATGAAATATTCTGGCTGAGGTTATTAATGCTTTGGAAATTAGTATCTAAGAATTTAAAAATTGCAAAATGCACATTTGCTATGCTTCAGGGTTATGATTTTACAGGTATCTGTGCTAAATACCAATGCTAATTGAGTGTTTTGGTTGAGAAGATGGCTTAAGAGCCTGCTCTAGTGGGAGCCCTAAAAGCTGGCCGTTTCAACCACTCCCTCTCCTCCTATGCTCACACGCACTAATGAAATCAGCTTAATAACATACGCTTTGGGTCCGGAGATTAGTTAAACTTGAAGAAGCAGTAATTAGGGGCTGCAGGAGAAGTGCCGCACAACTGACAAGGGTAAGGAAGGGCATGGGAGCGTGAATACAGCTGTGTAAAGATAACAGTAGGCACAGAAGGTTCTAAAGAAGGCTACCTGGTTAAAGTTGAGGGTTTTACATATAATTTCATGTAGCTCAGCAAACAAAGCAAATATTCTGAAATGTACACACAAATTCTGTTAACAATATGCAGACCAATTCCATTTTTTCAACAAACTAGTTTCACTGCTACACTAAGTAGGAGACTCTTAATAAGAACTAATACTTACTAAATGCTTATTATCATCAGTGTGTTACAAAATAGCTATTAACATAAAATGAGAAGAAAAGCGAATTTAAACTTTGATTATTTAAGAAAAGGGGGAGAGAGAGCGTCCCTGTTTTATTACATTTGGAAGTAGAAACTAATAACTGGACCAAATTTTCATGTGCAATGGAATCTCCAGATGATTTCAAGCCTTTTCAAAATTATGGCTATCAAAAACTGTCCACATGGGTTTCACACCATGATTACAGCTTTAAGCTGCTCCTGCCCTGCCATTAAAGACAAGAGAACTAAAGATGAGGCAGAAAAGCTTTATATTCCTTCAGCCAGAACAGCTCACTTTTATTTCCCTTCAAATAAAACTAGCAAGAACTCCAGGTGACAGGGAAGGAGAGAAGACAGAACCAAGTGTATGGATACAGCACCCCTCTTTCTGTGATGGTTTCTGTCAGCACACAGGCCCATCCTCCTCTGCCCCTCTGCTCTGCACACCCCCGCTCCACTCCTCTTCCTCAACCACTGCTGTCCTCTTACTCACTCTGCACTCCTCACTGCCTCCAGCTCCACTCCTCCCATTCTCTCCCCAACCCACGCCTCCACCCCATTTTCACCCCTACCGCTCTCCCAAGCTGCTGTCTCCAGCATGATCAATGACCTCCACTTTGCTAAATCAAATGCTCTTGGTTCTTAACCTCTCAGTAGCATCTGAGTCACTCCCTCATCCTACAATACACGGCTTCACCTGGCTCCCACTGGTCACTCCTCCTCTACTGCTTTGACTGGTTCCTTTCCAGCCTCCTGCTTGATGTCTAGGTGCCCCAAGCTTCAGTCCCTGATCCCCTTCTCGTCTGCATTCACTCCCTCAGTGATTTCATCCAGACTCATGGATTCCAATACCGTCCATATGCCAACCCAACTTCCCAAATGTTTATTTCCAGCCCAGCTCTCTCCCAAAACTCCAGCCTCACATATCCCAACATTTCCACTGGGATGTCTACCAGACATCTCAAACTCAACACGTCCAAAACCAGACCCTCCCCTCCCCTCCCCTCCACCAGCTTCACCTCCTAGTGTTCTCTGCCCCCTGCTCACCCCACTCCACCCACATTGGCTTCCTTGCTATTCCTCAACACAGCTGTCCTCTCTTCCCGGACACCCCCTCGCCAGATATCTTACCTCCATCTTCACTCCTGGGCACTCCCTCCACCACACTTACTGTGTTCAACTTTCATTTCCATCAGCGTTTATTACTTTCCAACATACTACAGTTATTGTGCTGATGTTTATCATCTGTCTCCACCTTCTATAATGTAAGCTCCTTCAAGGCAGGACCTTTGTCTTGTTGACTCCTACCTCCAGTGCCTTAGCAGTGGCTGCCATCGGAGCTTTCACAGCCATCACTCCCCTTCTCCCATGAACATGTGGCACACACCCCACCCTCCTTGATACAGTATCACTGGGGCAGCAGAGCAGCAGTTTTAAACAGATGCTCCCCTTTGGTCTCCTGCTACTGCTCTGCTTGTGGCACCAGGCCACTGTTGGCTAGCAATTTTTAGATAAAATGTTAGTGATTAGGCCTATGAATAACGCTTAAAAACCTGAAAACATGCTTACTTGCTCAAGACCGAGCTACAGATTGTTACAATTTTAGTATTCAAAACGGGATACACAGACACAGTCATCCTTTTTTTTTTTTTTTTGAGACAGAATTTCGCTCTTGTTGCCCAGGCTGGAGTGCAATGGTGTGGTTTCGGCTCACCATAACCTCCACTTCCTGGGTTTAAACAATTCTCCTGCCTCAGCCTCCCGAGTAGCTGGGATTACAGGCATGCAGCACCACGCCCGGCTAATATTGTATTTTTAGTAGAGACGAGGTTTCTCCATGTTGGTCAGGCTGGTCTCAAACTCCCGACCTCATGTGATCTGCCCGCCTCAGCCTCCCAAAGTGCTGGGATTATAGGCATGAGCCACCACGCCCGGCCAACATAATCATTCTTAAGAGCACTCAAGCCAGCAAAATCCTCCCCCTGGGAATCTATCAAAAGTCTGGCTATTTCAAGTAAATGTGCAACAGCACACTTAGTCTGCACCCAGGTTTCCCTCACTCAGGAAGACGGAGTCCATTTTTCTCTTCAAGGTTAGTTTCTGGGATTAGGACCTGGGCTCATCATTCACCCCCTTCCTTTGTCCCAACCTCTGATAGCCCCTTTCCTAGCACCTTGGGACATGTTTACACATGTGAGAATCTTCTTTTAAATCCATTCCTCAAACCTGGAATCCACTCTGAGAGCCAGCAGGGTGCAGTGTCCCAGCCACTGGAACTGCAACGACTATAATCTGATTGGGGCAGGTCAAGGAGTAAAGGCTCCAATGACACTGCTTAGGCCTCCTAACTCTGTCTCTCGGAATGTGGCGCTCATGAACACTCCCTGCTGTCTCTTCCTCTGGTCCCCATGACAACAATCTCCCCGGGTCCTTCCCCACCTCTGGCTGTTTCTTCTCAGTCTCCTTTGCGGGTGTATCTTTCTTCTCTAAAACTGATGGTATTCCCAGTGTTCTACCCTTAACTCTTTTCTCAGTCTTCATGCTCCATCTAGAAAATGTCACCCTCTTTCCTCATTTTAACTACTACTACGTTTGCTAACTCCACTCCTTCGCCCTAATCTCAAGACTGATACATGTGACGTCTCCCCTACACTGAGACACACTAGACTCTCAAACTCAGCATCTCTAGAACTGAGCAACATCTGCTCCCCAAATATTGTTCCTTCTCTGGTATGTCCTATTTCAGGTAATGACGGCACCACCCACGGGATCATTTAAGCAAGAAACCTTGGAAACATCTTCCATCATTCTCCTTCTCTAAGTCTCTCCTATCAACCCCAACCACTGCATGCTCATTGTTATAGTGTTGATTCAGATCCCTATCTTTTGTCCAGACCAGTATTTCTTCATGGAAGTGCTACTGGCATGGCACACAGGAGATGCTCTATGCAGGATTGATTATCCAACTCAGTGCAGACACTCTAACAGCTCCCCTCATGATCTAGGGAGTTCCACCTGAGCACCAGGCCTCAAGTGCTAAGCATGGCCCCAGGCTCCCATCTCCCATGAAGCCCTGTTAGTCCACTTTACTGTGTAGGGGCCAAATTCCCACCTGCTACTGTCTGCTTCTAGATGCAGACCCAGAAACGCTATGGCTTCAGTCTGATCTACTTTAAAAATTGCTTATTCTCTAAGCTTGGCATTTCCTTCCTTCCTGCTTGCCTTCCTCCCTCCCTCCTTCCTTCCTCCCCTCCCCTTCCCTTTCCTTCCTTCCTTCTTCCTTTCCTTCCTCCCTTCTTTCCTTCTTTGAGACAGAGTCTCGCTCTGTTGCCCAGGCTAGAGTGCGATGGCACAATCTCAGCTTGCTGCAACCTCTGCCTCCCAGATCCAAGCGGTTCTCCCACTTCAGCCTCTGGAGTAGCTGGAACTACAGGCATGTGCCACCATGCCTGGCTAAGTTTTGTATTTTTAATAGAGATAGGGTTTCACCATGTTGGCCAGGCTGCTCTTGAACTGCTGACCTCAAGTGATCTGCTCGCCTCAGCCTCCCAAAGCGTTGGGATTACAAGCATGAGTCACCACATCTGGTCTTTTCTATTTTTATTTCTTTTATCTATCCTCATCCTGGCCTTGAAACAGAGTTAATATAAGCCCATCATCCCTTAACTTCCTTATGTACAATTCCAAAATCCAAAAAACTCTAAAACCTGAAAGTGTATTTTTTAAGTTAAAAACTCGTTTAATGACAAAGCATGCCCTGAACTGATATGAAGATACTGATAATCATCACTTACCTCCCTTAGTATGAATAGTCATACAATTCTTTAAAAAACATTAACGTGTTTTATTGTAGGGTAATGCTTCAGAACCACTTTAGACTGTAGAAAATACATGGAATAACCATTTGAAAACCCCAAAAAACTTGAATTCTAAAACAAATATGGCCCCAGGAAGTTCAGATAGGGATTGTGGATCTGTATAACAAAGTTCAAACTCACGGAAACACCTTTACTGGAAGGCTTTCTCTGTCTCTTAAAAGTGATTTTTTTCTAAATAAAAATTTTAAATTGCTGGCCAGGTGCTGGGGCTC